CGTACGAAAAGTGAGAACGCCCGCAAATTGATGGCGTTTCCCGAGAGGGTCTTGGCAGATTTATTTTTACGGCAGCCATTTAAAAAGAAAAAAATAAAAAAAAAAATTTTTTGTGTATTTTAATATATAATAAATAACCCTAAAAAAGTTCAAAAAGATTCAATCATTCCTTCCCAGTTTAAAAAGTCCTCAAAAAATGGTAAAAATTAAGGCGATTACATGTATCGCCCCCCTTAAGCTAATTTAATCTTCTAACTCGGAATTTGGAAACATACAGAAAAATAGAGTGTTCAAAATTTCAAAACTTTTATCAAAATACATATTTTTACGTATATCGTATATCGAACGACTTGTAACGGATAACACATAATGCTAATTTAGGTTTCCATATTTTAAATTTTAAATTATAACACACTGATGATGAGACTAACCTAGTTTGTGAAAATTATTATTATTTAATATATTAGTGCAAAAAAGAGTGTTGTTTGTTCATATTTCCAAATTAATATCTATTTATCCACTCAGAATACATTTGATATTTTTACCTTCACGTAGGACAATTTATAGTAAAACAAAAAATTAAAATTAAATTTTTGCATATCTTTACGTTTCAGTGGGTTTCTGAACATTTTAGTATACCTTAGAAAAAATTTATGTATGTGTAAAAAAAATTAAAATAAAAATTTTGGGAAGGCAAGTCTAGCAGTAAAAAAAGTTAAAAAATGCCATTTGGCGGTCAAAAATGATCGTTAGACATGTACATCAAATTATCAGATATTTTTTAGAGATTTTAATAATAAGTATAAATTTTGTTTACATTTCTATGGGTTCCGTACCAATGTTTCTCCGTTAGACAGCGACGAGACGCTTATGCGCTTCGACGTTTTAACTATTATTTAACTACTAATTCGATTCAGAATGACTTAAAATGTCGAGAAAACATAAAATTAGCAAATAAATTACTAACATATTAATTTTCACCCAGCTAACGCAGCCTGATTGCTTTGACAAAAAGTTCAAAATTTTCAAAACTACAAAAAAAATCAAAAATTTCATACATCTATTTTTTTTCAAAGTTTAAAAATAATAAATCTTTTAAATCTTTTTTTTAATTTCAATCTTCGGTACAGAAAGTTCCAAGTTGTCTTCAGGCACGATGCCATGCACCACTAGTCAATCTTTCAAACATGTACTATCTTTGTGTAACCTCGCGTTGTGCAGTACAGCCTTCGCCTCTAACTATATATACTCGGTCTACTAGTGAATACAATCGCCCGACTGAACTCCGATGGTTCGGGGCGCGGGCTTCAAACCCGCGGCTGACTAGCGTCAGAGTGGTTCGATTCCACCTGTCGGGCGATGGCAACCTCCTAATTTTATCACCTTGTAATCATCGTGTAATTGATTCAATTTAACTTTGGTAAATGCTTCAATTGGGAGACTTTTTAATTGAAAGTCGGTCGATAATTATAAGAATTATATGAAGATATAGATGTAAATACATACAGTAAGGTAGAGCGGACTTAAAGATATTCGGGTAGAAAGGTCCATCAAAATTTTTTTAATAACAATATTTGGAAGTAGATGGTAAAACATGTAAAACCAGCCATCACTTCGAGAAATATTTGAAAATTCACTTCAAAAGTATTTTCTTTCGTTGTTAATTGTTTTGTTAATTTTATTATTACTATTTTAATGAAAATACAATACTTTATTTTGTACTCTTTTTTATTTATTGTTACTAAATGTTAAATTATTTAGCAGTTGTAACAAATATTGTAATTAAAAAAAAAAGTTTTGTTAGTGAGCATTGTAGTTTACGAGATCTCTATATAATTTTTAACTAGTGGGGCGCATGGCATCGTGCCTTAAGGCTTCCCGTACCAATTTTTAATTAACATTTTTGAAAAAAAATTACTTTGAAAAAATTAGATTTTTGAGAAACTATAATATTATAAAAAATTTACTTTTTTTTGTGAAAAAAAGACATTTTGAAAAAAAATGTTTTCTTTATTTTAAAATATTTTGGAAATTCTGAACTTTTTTCAAAACAATCGTATTGCTTCAACTGCATAGAGACGAAATTTCGAAGCGCGTAAGCGCCGCGCCGCCGTCTAACAGATGACCATTGGTACGGAACCCATAGGAATGTAAATAAAAATTCATACTTATTGTTAAAATCTCTATAAAATACCTGATAATTTGAAGTGCATATGTCTAATGATCATTTTTGACTGTCAAATGGCTTTTTTTTACTTTTTTCATTAGATCTCCGAAACCGATAGACCTGCCTTCATGGAAATTTTATCATCCTGTCAATATAAGTAAAATGTTATTTGATTTATTAAAATCGAACACTTCGTTCTCCTAAAAACTGAGTTACCGTTTGTGGCGCTCTTTGCCTCGTATCTCCGAAACGGCTAGACCTGCCTATGCCAAAAACTAATCAGCACGTCTCTTTATCAAGAGCAATCGAATGTCTTTTGAATAATTCAAATCGGCTGAACCGTGTTCCCGAAATCGTCGACGAAAATTCGTATTTCGCACACATACATCCATTTTTTCTAAGGTATGCCAAAATGTTCAGAAACCTCTGAAACGTAAAGATATATAAAAACTTTTATTTTCGATTTTTTTGCGATTACTATAACTTTCCTTACAGGAAGTTAAATCTACGTTATTTAATCGTCTTATAAGATGTATTGCTAATTTTAAATTAGATTCAACAGTTTTTTTATATAACCTCTATAAAAGCTCACACCAGGGTGGGGAAAAAGGGCTATCTAAACCTTTATCCAGGTAAAGATATAAGCAATTTTACAAGAGATAATTTAAATGAATAGTTATTCCAACTCATTCTTTGTCTCATTCGATTCAGAATGACTTGAAACGTCGAGAAAACGTGAAATTAGCAAATAAATAATATACTAACGTATTTGCTTGTCTGTATATACATAGATAATTATTTTTCTCTAAAACTTTCCAAACAAAAAAGAAAGAAACGTTCTCATTTTCTTCTTATAAAAATATTTATTTAGAATGACACACAATTTCTTTATCAAATATTATTTGACAAATATTAGCTCTCACAATATGCATCATAGCAACTGGTGAAGATAA